TTTTTCCCCCCCCCCCCCAAAAAAAAAGCTTCTATCATTTTCAATCATAATTTTAAAAATAAATTTTGAATATTAATTAAAGTAATATTATAAATATATTTAAAATTGAGTTAAAAAAAATATTGAATATATTTTTAATGTTTTTTAAAAAAAGTAGGGTTTGCATGGACTTTTAGAGATTTATTTGGATTTTGATTAAAAAAGATTTTAAATATATTACTAATAACAATTTTTTGTGATTTTAGTTTTATAAACAGATTTTAACTCGAATTGAGAATCGATAAATTAATACAAAATTACAGGATTTTTGGGTATTTTAAAAATCGAGTTTTTTTTGGATGTTGTTTATTTGGATTTGGATACATAAATTATTGAAGTCTTTTAATATTTTAAAATTTTTAAGTTCCGTTTGGATGATTTTGTAAAAATGGAGATTTATTTAGATTTAATTGAAAGTGTTTGTTTGACTTATCATTCTATTACAATTAGAACCGACTATTTGCCTTTTTTTCACCCAAAACTAACGTAACATTATAGTCTACATATATATGTTTTCCTTAAACATAAACTACTCGATTAATTTTTAATCGATTAAACAGTTATATCATTTGTTGGGCCATTATCAAAAATATATTATCTTGATTTTAACCAGAATTACAATTTGGTCATGATCATATTAATTATAATATTAAATTAAATTTATGGTGATCACATTAATTTATATTAACTATTTGATAAAATTATTATAAATTTGGTGATCACATTAATACATATAATTTTGATTTTTAGAAAATGATATAAATTGAAATCAAAATATTACATTGAGTATATTTTTTTTTATCTAACACCCATTTGTTGCGAATACAAAAAAGAAAAACCTTTTCCCCAATAACAGTTCCATTCTGTGGCATGTCCCATAGGCCAGACAGTTTTTTTTTTTTTTTAAAGTTCGAAAATTTCGTGAGCATGAATGAAATGAATCGATGTGGTGATCTTCCACGGAAAGTGAAAATCGTTTTTCTATAATTTGCTTTTCCTTTTTTTGGGTGGGATTGAAATGGCAGGATCGGATATGAAATGGGTGTCTCGTTTGATTTTCTGGTTCCTGATTTCATCTCAGCTTTGGGGATTCTCAGTGCCCAATTCACCACTTCAACATAACTTCGAGGTATTCTGTTTTCGAATTCTTGTGAGATCTCTATTTTTCATGTTAGGGTTTGATCTGGGTTTAGGGTTTTCCGGTCGCAATTCTTCGGATTTGTCCGAAACTACAGGAAAAAAAAGGGTGCATCATTTTGATTTTCTCTGTTTTGCTCGATTTTCATTGAAAGTTCATGGTGTTTCTCTGCAGGGTTATAAAAATCCTGGAGATGGGAGGTATTACACAACCTTTTAGCTGCTGAATTCAACTTCTCTGTTGCCATAATTGTGATGAAAATTTGAAAGTCGAAAGTTGTAACATTAGTTTCATGAATCACTGTCCGTTTCTGATGATTGGATAGATAATTCAGGGCGCCAAAACAGAAAGAAGACAGCTTTCCTGCAATGCATTGCTCAAGAGAACGCAGTAGAGCTGCTTGGAAAATAGTTCAAGAGGTATTTGATAGATACAATCCTTTGTTTGTATTGCTTTGGGTAGAATTTTAGAAATCAAAAGTGTTCTAATTTAGGGTTTGGGATCTTTTCGGTTGACAGTATTTGATGCCCTTTGTGGAGAAGGATCGGTATCAACTACCGACTAGTTGTAGACTTCATCGAGACAATGACATTTACAGAGAGCAGGAAGAACACAAGATGCACGTGGATATAAATGAATGGCAATGCGGCTACTGTCAAAAGACTTTCTACGAGGAGAAGTTCCTCGATAAGCATTTTGATAATCGGCACCACCATTTGCTGAATCGGGTATGTTTCATTTGCTGAAGTACATATCTTGTTACGGCTTAAAATCTCCTCGGTTTTTTCTTAAATATTCATGTGATGTGTTTCCATGTCTAATCATATCGTTCCAAGTCATAAATGGTGTATTTTTTGTCGGGGTATATCTATCTGAAACTTGCATTTTCTTGTACATATACCTTGAATCTAGAGCCATGGCAGATGCCTTGCAGATCTTTGCGGAGCATTGCATTGCGATCTCATGATAGATGCCAAAAAACCGAAATCCAAGTGCAATCCTGCAGCTGCTGCAAGAAATCGGCACTTGTGTGAGGTGAGGTTTTAAATAGCTACTTATTCGAAAGTAAGTTTTGTTATTAGTTCATTTCAAAATTTAGAATTACTGAAATGGGTTTCGGTTATCGGAGTATAGTTTAGTCCAAATCGGAGCTCGTAGAACTAGAAAACGGTATATGAAAGCATTTTTTGAAACACTTCTTTGGTCTCAGAAAATTTTCTCCTTAACAGTTACCATAATTTCATCGATCATCAGATTTACCATGAATTCAACCATGCATGCGATCATGTTGCTTCTTAATCTCGATGATTCAATGTGGTTGATCTCGGGAACAACAAATTTCCGTTATGTTCTTATATATTTTCACTGATTCCGTTCCATCACTTATCTGACCATTTCATACCAATTCTCTGGACAATGATTTGATCGCAGAGTTTGGCAGATAGTTGTTTCCCTGTTAATAAGGGTCCTTCAGCCAGCCGTCTTCACGGTAGAAACTTTCCGCAAATTTTTTTACGAGTATTTACATGTATTGATCGATAAAGAATCTTCTTTTTTTTAAACTGTAGAATTCTTTTTGCGCCAATTCTGCGACGCACACGCATGCACAGGAGGATCAAAGCCTTTATCTAGAAAGATCAAGGTAAGCAATTTCTTTCATTTAGACGTCTCTTCAATCTGCCTCGCCCGTGAAGTAATCCATAGACCATAGCTGTAGTGAAAGACATCTCTCTCTCTCTCTCTCTCTCTCTCTCTCTCTGTGGTTCTTTATGTTCATATATGAAAGGTTCTTACTTGGAGAAATTATTCTTCTTTGTGATCTGTCTGCAGAAGAAGAGTGTATTCTACATAGCTGCCTCCATCATCACTTTGATGTTGCTTCCACTCTTTTACAGCTTCGTCTACTTGTACCAGAGGTACGCCGTTATAAACCGCTTGCTTAACCAAGAAGATCGGTATGATTCTCGTATCCGGGTTTTTTGTCCATTGCAGAGGGTTAAGAAGCGGAACCCGAGAGCTGAAGCGGATAACCCGCCATGATCGTCCCAAGAAAAAACCGTATTGAAGGGGAAATGGTGTGTTCGGATCGGAATCAGCAGGAGAGAGGTTCTCATATGGAAATAGGGTCTCTGCTCGGTGGAGAATTTGAAAGAGAAGCGAACTCATTTCGTGTAAACGTCAAGAACGTAGATTGGCAAATAGTACAAAGGACGATTGCTTCGTCAAATCCACAGCCTCATAAATGAATCTGAGAACTCAGTGGGAGATTTGGTCGAACACTATGAGTTCATGGGCTTGTTTGAGTAATTCCTCATCTGGGCTGTTGTTCAATGGGCTCATTATGGGCCGCATATATTAATGTTCGACTTATTTTTGGAACAAAAAATATTAGATATTAAAAAATAGGGACAATTACCAAAAAAAAAGTATTTGACAAATAAATACACAAATTTTTATTTTGGTAATAAAATATACCAATTTTTATATTTTTAGCGTAAAATTCTACGAACAATAACAACGTTAAAAAATTAACGAAAATATTAACACATCATAATTGTATATAAATATCCTATCATTTTGTTTAATAAAATTATATCATTAATTATATTTAATAAATTTATTATTAACCTTATTTAGTGATTTTATTTTTTATGTTCAAAATATAATATATATAGAAAGTGGAACCTTTGAAATACAAATATATTATGTTTTGAATATCAAAAAACAAAATCACTAAATAAAGTTTATAATAAATTCACTAATCATATATATTCTGTTTTGAATATCAAAAAATAAAGTCACTAAACAAGGTTAATAATAAATTCACTAAATATAATTAATGACATAGTTTTATTAAACAAATGATATGATATTTATATACAACTGTACATGACATATTGATGGTTCTATTCTTTTTTTTTTGACGTCGTTAGTATTCGTGGAGGTTTTCACTAAAAATATAAAAGTTAGTATATTTTATTACCAACATGAAAGTTTGTATTTTTATTTGACAGATATACAAAGTTCATGTTTTTTTTTGCTATTGTTCCTAAAAAATAATATTATTTCGGAAATAGTATATGACCCAATGAATATAACAAGGAATTTTGATATAGTTATAATAGTCATAAGAAAGATAATTACTTGGTGAAAATAAAAATTCAATGTACATAACAAATTCTAATAAATGTCAGTAATTATAATTTTAATTTTTAAAATAAAATCAGCAACTGGATAAATATATTATATTTATATATACACACAATAAAAGGTCTGCAACGATAATGGGCCTTTTTTTATGGGATAACATGTAATTGTAATACTCTTTCAGATTTGTAGACCCATAAAGTATGGGCCTAGTCTTCGTAAATGTTGGGCCTCATTCGATCCATTGAAGTCCCACGCGCACAAGAAGCGTGTATATTTCACGCATGAGGGCGCGTGGGCTTCGTTTTGTCGATAAATTAAAGTAATTCATTTTTTTTCTCACTAAAATTAGTTCCCAGGTTGGGCATATTTCTTTTTGTTTTGCCATTTCTTTTCATTTCAAGATTTTTTTTTTGTAAAATACAATTGGATGTGTATGTATTATACATACGCGTAACGCAACGGGTCTGAGATATTTTTATAATTTTTTAAATACGGTGAATATCTAAATCAATAGTTAACTTATCAGTTCTGTTTTGAAAATTAATTTTTATTTTAAGGAAAAACTAAAAAATCCTTATATTTTTAAGATGATAATTAAAATTACCAATGATCCATAAATTTCTATAAACTTAAAATTTTTAAAAAACATCCAAAAAAGAATGTATTTTTTTTTAAATACATCCATCTAATCCAAATTAATCAAAAAATTTAAATAAAGTAGAAAATTATAAAAACATATAAAAACAAAATAATTTTATTAGATTAAAAATAAATATTAATATTATAAAATTATATATAATTATCTATATATAAATAAAATTTAAATAATAAAATAATAGCAATTATGATTGGAAATTAAAATGTACTAACTTTTGAAATATATTCATAAAATAAAACTTTCTACAAATTCAATAATTTCATATTTATAGATTTTTTTTTCTAAAATTTCTATTTTACATTGTATTAAAAATATATAAATTATTAAAATTTATTACTTTTAGATATTTTTTATAAAAGTTTTATTTTTATTTTTGAGGTTTTCAATAGATACTTTGTAATAATTTTTTTAAAAATTGTTCAAAGATTGAAAGTTTATTTGAACTTACCTATAATTGATATTTTAATTAATCATATTTTTTAAGTTTAAGATTTTTTTAGAGTTATAGCGTTATTTTGCGGACAAAATTCAGATTGTGCCTTTGAGATTAAGCTAACATCTTTATTTAAAAAAAAATGTGAAACAACACTAAATAATTGGGACGACGGAAGTAGATGGGTACGGTACTTGAATCAGTTATATTTACTCGGTTTTTTTTCCATATATATATATATATATATATTCTTTTGACAGATAATTTTATCAAATGTTTTGGGCATTTCATTTTAAGAAAATGGTATATTGGTATTTTGATTAATCCAAAGAAGACCCCATAATAAATGAGTAGTTTACTAATTTTTAGTAACACGGTTTAAAATTGTTTGGCATTTCCACATCCAATACTATTGACATGCATTGTATCTGGTACTATTAATGTCAGTGAGTCCTGTGTCATGTGTGTGTGTATATATATATATATGTGTGTATGCGTGTGTAATATATAATGATCTGTAAAACTAAACAAAAAATGATCTGTAAATTCCTATTCCGACCTTTTTGTTTAAATGGTAATAAACTATATATATATATATATGTATGTATATATCTCGTTCAACATAACTCAATAGGAAATATTTGTCGGTTTAAAAATACCATATTTATTCATACATATTTGGATATATATGGTTAAGTTTTCTGAATACAGAATATATATATATATATATATATATATATATATAGTTCAAACCCCATTGGACCGAATATTACCAATATATATATATATATATACACAAATAAAAAACTGTTCTAGTTTTCTCTCAATATATAATATAAAAGCATATTTAGCTTTAGATTTTTTGTAAAAAAAGAGAGAGATATACATCTACAGTATATAGTTGTGTGTGTGTACGTATATATATGTAACATATACAGAAGAAAGGCAAATTCAAGTATTTTTCCTCGAGAGGTTTTTAGCACCCAAGAAGAAGGCCGAGTGACGAAACAAACAAGGCAAAACCCTAATGTCTTTCCCTTTCAACGGAAATGGTAAATTTGATGGAGATACCACAAAAAGAAATTAAAAAAATATATAATTAAAAATAAACATTTTAAAACAAAAAAGTATAATTAAAAGGAAAAAAGTGTAGACGCCTACGTCTTCTAATTATCGAGGTAAGGTAATCACCTCCCCGGGAAACCGCTTCCGGGTTTCTTCTCCTCCCATCATAACGACAGCGCCGGCGGCGGAAATGGCGGCGCTGAAGACGAAGATCCGTCGGAAACTCAGAGGCAGCGACGGCGGCGACGGCATGGGCGTTATTCCACGGAACAGTTTCTTCGTGTGCTTCGTCTTGTTCATCTTCTCCTTCGTTCTCTTGTCTGGTTCTTTCGTCTTCAGAGGTGACACCATAACCATATTTTTTTTCCTTAAACCACGACGGTTTTTCGAGGAAAAAGTTCGGAACTTTAGTTGTTAATTAATGTTTTTTTTTAATTTATCTGTTAAGCAGGGAAGTTCCACCCCGTCGTACGGACGAGATTGAGTTCGCCGGCGACGATGGCTCTTTCCGGCAATGCTAGCTCGTGGTCGACGGCGATCACAATCCGTGAAGCGGTTAAATTTCCCGACCAAACGTTGGTTTTCCTAAAATACCCTCAGTCTGCTCGGTTATTTACCAAAGAGGACATCATCTGCGTTTTTTCCTCCGCCAACGATTCCTTCCAGCTGAAGAAGCCTCCCTCCGCCGTGGACAACGACGATCTCGGTGGCCAGATCGTCCGGTGCCCAATCATGCCACGTGGCACCTCCATATCGCTCGTCCTCCTGAGAGACGTTCACCTCCCGCCCGGGCCCACCCACCGGTGGAACTGGCTGGCATACGACGCCGTGATCGACTACGACAACTCTACGGTGGTCTTCGCCAAGGGGCTTAATCTACGGCAAAGTAAAGTTGCTGACATGTCGAGGTACGAGTGCGTGTACGGCTGGGATTTCACGAAGCCCAATTGCTTGCTGAGATCGGAGGTCATCTCGGCGGCCCAGGAGATCGTACGGTGTAGAACGCCCCTCAGCGTAGTGGACGGCCCAAGATCGGCCCACAGTCAGGTCAAAGTCTCGGTCAGAGTCAAAGGCAGGCGTGGTGGGATGCTTCCCTCATCAGCCCACCCGGTTCGGGTCAAGAACCCGACCCGAAAACGACCCTTCGAGATGTGCGTTTGCACAATGACGCGAAACTCGGCCGCGTTTTTGAGAGAGTGGGTGATGTACCATTCCCGAATCGGCGTTCAACGATGGTTCATCTACGACAACAACAGCGACGACGCCCTACCCGCCGAGATCGAGAGCCTCGACAAGCTCGGCTACAACATCTCCAGACATCTATGGCCGTGGATCAAGACCCAGGAAGCTGGATTCGCCCATTGCGCGATCCGGGCACGCAGTGTTTGCGATTGGGTCGCGTTCATCGACGTGGACGAATTCTTCTATTTACCATCGAGGTTAACATTACCGGACATCATCAGACGCTACCCGGCCTCCGGCCACATCGGAGAGCTCCGGACATCGTGTCACAGCTTCGGACCGTCTGGTCTGAGAGACCGGCCTCGAGACGGAGTCACGGTCGGGTACACATGTCGGATGGCGTCGCCGGAGAGGCATAAGAGCATAGTGCGACCGGAAACGCTGAACGCGACGCTGATAAACGTGGTACACCATTTCCACCTCCGCGATGGCGTGACGTCTGCCGAGGTGGGCAGGGGTACGATGGTAATTAACCACTACAAGTACCAGGTGTGGGAGGTTTTCAAGGATAAGTTTCGCCAGAGGGTGGCGACTTACGTGACGGATTGGCGAAAAGGAGAGAATGTCGGGTCGAAGGATCGGGCACCCGGGCTGGGGATCCGACCCGATGAGCCACCCGATTGGGCCGAGAGGTTCTGCGAGGTGAGAGATTCGGGTCTTAGGAATTGGGTTTTGGAGAATTTTAGGGATCACAAAACGCAGCGTTTGATGTGGGAGAAAGAGGGAGTGAAAGATGAAGTTAGAGCGGAAACGGGTTTGTGGGCCCCTAAAAGGATATCTTCGATCTTCTTCTTTGTAGATGGAAAATTAAATGCCCATTAGCTGGATATTAGAATTTATAAAGGGACGGGCAATTTGAGGAGAAAAAAAGAAAATTCAATTAAAAATTTATTAGATGTGATTTTTTAGCATTAAATTAAAGAAATTCGAAATAGAATATATATTTATATATCCGTCCCGAGAGGGGACACAACAAATATTTCGCAATTTTGAGGATGGCAATCTCTATTTTTCTTAACAAAAAAATTAATTGTTTTTTGTATTTGTGTTATTTTTCACCAACCCATTTAAATTTAAACAAATTAAAATTTCAAAACCTAGGCCAGTGCAATGAGAGTAGACGTGACAACATAATAATAATAATAATAATAATAATAATAATAATAATAATAATAATAATAATAATAATAATAATAATAATAATAAGGGTAAAACTCCTAAAAAACCTCCAACTTGCAAAAATATATACAAATAAACCTTGAACTTGAAAAACTATCATTCAATCCCCGAACTTGTAATTTGTCACTGAATAAAATCTCGAACTTGCAAATTATTGCTCTAATAAACCTTTGACCGGTTGACCACAATTTCAGGCGATCGGAAATCCACGTATTAACGGATTGCTGATGTCACCTTATATATGTTATCAATTTTAGTTTAAAAATGTCGTTCTAATAAATGGTATGGGATCTTATAATTTGTAAATCTATATAACTTTACTTATATATTTGTGTTTATCTCTTTTCTATCATACATACACGTATATGGAATCATACACACACACACTATTTTATAATTTGCCTACACCACCACCAATACTTTTTTCTTATTTACAAATTCTAATTTCTAAAATCCAATTTGAATAAAAAGAAATTTAAAAAAAAACTGCGATTTTCATTGACATGGAATGCGTGCAAGAGAAAAATTAGTTAAATACAATATGAAGGATCGCACAATTTAAATTAAATTACTTCTTGTTGGGCGTTGGGGGGATTTATTTGGAGTCATTCAAATTCTATTTTCCACCTAAAGAAAATTCTATAGAAAGGAAAGAAAATAATAATTTAAAATTTATATAAAAGATTCCTCTGGTGAGTCCAATTTAGTCACCATTAACATTATTTCTCTGTCATGGCTTTCTAATTGCGCATTCTTTTGACATTTTTTGTTTTTTATATCCTAAATTATCTGCATCCTTACGATTATTTTCTTTTTTTTTGTGTGCCACAACCATTTTCTGCTTAAAAGGCCAGAACTCAAATTTAATAATAAGTTGCCCAAATACAGAAAAGAATCGTAGTGTATATATATATATATATATATATATATATATATATACACACATAGTCATATTTTCATTAATTGGTCGTCTATATAAACCAGAAGTTTTTCAGAACCCCCATCTCACAAATCAAATACACCTTGGAACATCTCTTCTCGTTCATCGGCTTGGTCGGAGAGAAAACTCTGCGCTTGCGTTTCAACCGCTTCTGCTACGACGATGAAGATGGCGTTTGTCCGAATTGCGGTGGCTTGCCTGATCGTGTCGGCGGTCTTGGCTCACGAGGGGCATGATCATGATCATCACCACCACCACCACGGCGGTCCGGCGCCGTCTCCGTCGCCGTCATCTTCGTCGCCGTCTCCGTCGCCGTCGTCTCCTGACGCAGGCGCCGCGGCTCTCGCGACCGCAGGTTTCCTCCCGCGCCTGGCCTCAGCCGCAATCGCAGTCGCGGCTATGGCGGTTGGTTTGGTCTACTGAGTTGGTTACTCGTCTGCGTTCTCCTCTGTCTCTCGTCGGATAAATGTAACGCACAATGGGTTTTTCTGGCTGGGAAACATTTTATTTTATATTTACGTCTCTCTAATATTTGATTGTTTGGTGAATAAAATTATCGTACGCATCTTTTCGGAAGGCAAACTAACTTGATACGATTCTAGGATATCATATCTTAATCATGTTAATATGCAAGAGCTATATAATGCCGAAAAATCATCAATTTTAGTGTTAGTTTTATAAAATCATTAAAAGAGTTAAACATACCAACGGATTGATTAATGAAAACTAGTTGTATGGATCAGGGCCGTTCTGGTCCCTCCTAACTAGGATGACCGTTTCAGATTTCGGTTCGGATTCGATTCGATTATAGAAAAACTATAATTATTCGGTTTTTATATAAATTTCGGTTTAGTTCGGTTCACTTCCGATAAAAATTCATTTTTTAAAAGAAATTATCAGTTATTTTTTTTTCAGTTTGGTTTCGATTTTTATAATAATAATAATAATAATAATAATAATAATAATAATATATCTATGATGTTAGTAACATTAATGTGAGCGTGGGTGTATATAATAAAAGAATATATAGACATATATTAATAATTTTGGGTATATAGCTATATGCAGCCCAGGCCCAATGAAATTAAAAAAATAAATAAAAAATAAACCTTAATAATGGAAGAGGAGAGAGGAGCCGTTACAATTTTTGGGAAGAGAATATAAAGAAAAAACAAAAATTGGTAATTGGAGGCGTGAGACGTGGGAAAAAAAAGTTTTCACGAATTTTCGTTATTCTCATTTTATCGTATTTTTATTTTTCTTATATACGAAAATTAGATTTTCAATCCAATTCAATCTTTTCAATCCAACTTCGTATAAATTAAATAATGATCAATTTTAATGAATTTACGAGTAAAAAAGTTAAATCTCTTAGGGAATCGATGTTAAATGTCATTATAACGCAATTTTATATAAAAATGTGTTAGATCAGGATTTAATAAAATGCGAGATTGAGATATATATATATATATATATATATAAACATGTACTATAAGAAAGAAAAAGAATATTTTTGTTATTTCAAATTCTACAAGAATACACATATATATACTACTCCTAAGAACATTCTAGTACATGATAATAATGATACATAATAAAACTTAGTCTAACATAAAATAAATAGTTTGTAAAATCTAGAAACAATTACCAAGTCTTGAACACACATTTCTAAATAACCAAAAACTAGGAACAAATGAATGCTCCAATAATATCCTCTAACATGCCCCCGCAAGATCGGGCACGAGAGAGAGACCGATCTTGGTACGAAGCAGTTCAAACCGAGTCTTCGGTAGAGCTTTGGTCAGAGCGTCGGCGAGTTGATCATCCAAAGATACATGAACGACGCGAAGTTTCTCAGCTTGGACGAGACCACGAATAAAATGTTAGTCAATGGCGACGTGTTTCATTCTTGAATGAAAGACCGGATTGGCCGAAAGGTAAGTAGCACCCACATTATCGCAGTAGATAACAGGGCAAGTTGGCGAAGGAAATCCAAGTTCAGATAGCAGCGAGGCAATCCATTGGACTTCAGAGGCAGTGGTCGAGACGGACTTGTACTCAGCTTCCGTGGAGGATTTCGCTGCAAAACGCTGCTTTTTGGAGGACCAAGAAACAAGATGACGGCCCAAGTAAACAATGTTGGCACCGGTGGATCCGAAATCATCACGATCTCCGCCCCAATCGGCATCAGAGAAGGCATGAAGAGTTGTGGAATTCGAACATGAGAAGAAGAGACCCATGTTCCGAGTGCCACCAACATACCGAAGTATCAGTTTAACTGCCTGCCAATGTTCCGAGGTAGGAGAGTGCATATACTGAGAGAGTTTATTAACGACATATGCGATATCCGGACGTGTGAAGAGAAGATATTGCAAGCTGCCGAGGATTTACCGATATGCAGACGGATCAGCTAAAGGAGAGCCAGATTTGCTGGAGAGTACAGTGGTTGAAGCTAAGGGCGTCGGAACGGGTTTCGCAGCATCCATATTATGACGGGATAAAACATCTGATGTGTAGCGGCGTTGAGTAAGATGGAGACCATGGGCTGTGCGAGTGACCTCGACACCAAGGAAGTACGAGAGATCACCGAGGTCTTTGAGAGAAAACCGAGCTGCAAGATGAGCAATAAAGGACTGGACAACCACTGCATCATTCCCGGTAACAATGATATCGTCGACATAGACGAGAAGATATATGATGGTGCTGCCTTGACGGAGAATGAACAACTATGAGTCTGAGAGAGAGCTGATGAAACCCGAATGAAGCAAGAATTGACGGAGTTCGTGAAACCAGGCCCGAGGAGCCTGTTTGAGCCCATATAGTGCCTTGTGAAGTTTACAGACAAACGAGGGACGATCACGATCAATAAACCCAGCCGGCTGTACCATGAACACATCATCATGGAGAGTACCTTGAAGGAAAGCATTATTAACGTCGGGTTGACGTAAAGGCCAGCCACGGGAGACAGCGATGCTGAGAATGACTCGGATGGTGGCATGCTTAACCACGGGACTGAAAGTCTCAGTGAAGTCAACACCAGGACGTTGATGAAAACCTTTAGTGACCAACCGAGCTTTGAACCTGCCAATAGAGCCATCAGAATTTCGTTTAGTGCGAAATACCCACTTACATCCCACAACATTATAGGCCGGATCAGGAGGAACGAGGCTCGATGTTCCATTCCAGACCAGTGCGTTGAACTCTTCAGACATGGCGGAGCGCCATCGAGGATCTTTCATAGCCTGCGATACACAAGTGGGTTCAGTTTCGAGGGAAGAAGAAAGAGAGGTTGAGAGGGAGACTTTTTGGTTTGGTTTAAAAATCTGGTTTTTGGATCTTGTTGTCATCGGGTGAAGGTTAGTGAGAGTTGAAGAAGAAGGAAGAGATGGTTGGTTAACAATAGGTAGAGGAGAAGGTTCTTGGGACGGTATATCAGGAGGTGAAGCAGAGGAGAAGTTTGACGGTTGAGTCGAGGATAAAGGTTGGGTAGGATTGGTCGGAGAAACAACAGGGGCAGGTGCTTGTGACGGCAGATAGGAGTGGGCCAACACGGAATGAGAGAAGAGGACGACATAACATGGGAGGACGCAAGAGGAGATGAATCAGAACCAGAAGACTCAGAGAACAAACGAGGAAACGGAAATTCTGACTCGACAAATGTAACATGACGAGAGACAAAAATGCGTGAGGAAGAAACATGGAGACAAAGAAATGCACTCTG